CATACCAAAGTCATTGTTGGTACGATAATGAGTGGTCCCCAAAAAGCATACATTTTGCTTTTTTAACTCATTTTCATGCTTTATCATAAGATATAGTGAGTCTATAATTAGAAAAAAAAATTAGCAACCATCTCTATTGGACGCGGTGTGGTATGCCCATGAACACGATCAACCATCAAATTTGCAATCAATTTATAACTCATCCTCATGTTATCTGTCGTTCGTAGATCCACACCATAATTATGTTCATTGTCCAATTTCCTAATATAAAAAAACCCAATAACTTTCTCCACTGTTGCATTGATATACCACCCACAACCAAAAAAATACATAAAGGAACACTCAACAATAACCCTTGATTTACAATTCTTTACATAATTAAATTCAAAATCAATCTCAATTGAGTATTTGCAAAAGTGTTTTCCGAAATTGTAACGCACCACCTTCAAATTTATGTCCTATGTGCCGTATTTCATTACTCCACCCAACTGTTAAAAGAACTTTCTCATTGTGACCAATAAAACTAAGTAACAAGTCTACTTCACATTCGACGACATCACCTATATTCACATCTTGCAATGAATGATTATCACCCACCAACCCGCCCTCAACATCTTCCACAAACACTTTAACTTCAACATAATTTCTTGGGAAACTACGTTTCAATTCAATCAAATTATTCAAATCCACATCGCTGCGCAACATGCAAGTGAGGTGACCAGGTATAGTATATGACAACTGGACTGACAAATTAAACAACTCCTCCCGAGACAAACTTCACAAAAAAATTACGATATATTTGAATTAGCACATACTTTGAATACTGAGGTAGCATTACAGTATGTACATAACAACAACAACGTTTCTTCCATTGCCAAAATCTCTTAAACTATTAAAAGAATAGATACAATGAAAGAAAATAAAAACATATATGCAAGTACATATATCCTTAAAACATATATACATTAACACATTTAAAATACAAGTGATTAACATACTAAAGACATGAATTCAAACCTTGCTAATGTTGTTATGAAGACAACAACACTTTAGGCTTCCAACATTTGGCCAAAAAAATTATGTGTACAGTCGAAGACAAACAATACTTTAGGCTTTCAATGTTTGGCCAAAAAAATTCTACGTATAGCCAGTTGAAGAAAACAACTATGGTGAAAAAGGCAAGGGTCTAGACAGTCGAAGACAAGTTGTCTTCATGCTTCCAAAGAATAGTTAGTCGAAGAATATGACTATGGTAAAAAAGGGAGGGTTTCAAAATTTAAAATTCAAACACAGTCATATATCTAAATATAGACAGAATATTAAAGTAATCCCATAAAATTAGGAGATATTTAATGCATAAATATAATTTGAAAATAAAAACCACTTTCCAAAAAAGTTACGCATGGATCAAAGAAGGATACAAAGGTCAGAAGACAATATGAAAATTTCAATTAATGTACTTGAAAATAAATAAGTATCAAAATTAAGAACTTTGTAATCCTACATGTTTTTCTGTGTACGTTTTACAATTAACTCTAATTTGGTGTACCCCTTTCCAATTTTCCCTCAAATCAAATGCTTTCTATTGATGTGTTAGGCTTTTAAGGATATGTAGCGATAGATAAGTTTCAAATAAGACAAAGAGAAACTAACAAATATTTAGAAAAGAAGTCAAAAGGTTGAAGCATATAAGAAATAAGATCTTTCCATTTACAAAAATCATGACTGAATATAACAAAAGAGACCAAACATGTTTGGTTCCAATAAGTATGTCGAATCCGTAAAGCATGTCCTAAGGAATTGGTTCGTTTATACAAATATTTATTTTTAAACCACAATAGATGAGATTGTGAAAACATGAGTGATGTTAACAGTTCAAGTCCTTACAAGATCACCATGCTTATTTTGGATGTTGAAATTGAAGAAATAATGGACTACACTGAAAATTTTAAGAATAAGTAGGAAATATATGATGTAACTACTATGTGTGATTGGTGGACCCCTATGACTAAATTGTCAATTATAATTTTTTTAATAAAGTGTGATGGGAAAATTGTATTTGTAACACTAAAAATCTCTAAGTTTTCAAAAGGGTGGCAACTTCATTTAGAGACCAATGGTTGTTGACTATATATATAAACTATACCCTATCGCAAATTTTTGTATTCCTATCCTATTCTACTAGCATATATATATTCCGCAAATTTCCCTAACGCCTCATCGCCTCCTCAGGACCTCATTTGTCTCGCCGCTCTCACCTCTCTCTCGGCCTCTCTTTGAACACCTCTACCTAAAATAGTTGTTATTATATTTGTGCAACAATTATGAAGGATTGATGTTTATGCCTTGGGCTTTCTTGTGTTTTATTGTAATTATTTTAGGTTTTAGTATTATTAGTTTATTATATTGTTAAATTAGTGCATGTTATTTAATTGAATTGTTAAAATGATAAAAAAATTGATAACTACAAAATATGTTCACCCAATTTCCTACCCGATTAATTTGGACGAAAGTTGGGTAAGAATACTACATTTAATCGGGTAGGGTAGACCAAGAAAAAAATTTTCTGTAAAGTATCAGGTAGGAAAATGGAAAACCATATTTCCTAAACGGAGGGTAGGGTGAACACCCTAGTTGTTTGTGGAAGAAATTGATAAAAATACAGGTGGCACATCATTGCAAATAATATATCTATATCTATACTACTATAAAAAATATCTTAAGATAAAAAACTTTTAATTTTCTATTATATCCTCAACAAATTTTTTATATATGTCCAATAATATCGTGCCTTGTTCTCAGAAGCCATTAAAAATTGGCATATCACTATGTAATATTATATATTAATTTTCTAGGAAGTTAATGGACCATCTTTTCATCTTCCCTGTTTAATGGAAATCTAATTTCAACCATCCTTTAAAGCAATAACATCATCATGACTATTCAAATGTCTATGCAAATCATGTACCCAAAACTGCTAGAAGTTAAAGAGCTCAATGCATATGAAGGGCCATACGAAGTCAAAGAGTCAAGTGCAATGTGAAGGGTTATATGTCAGGTATAAATATTCACACCAATACGAGACCCTCAATCCATCACAATCACTGAAAGATTACAATTGAGAGTTGATCAATTATTGTATTATTTTTTTTTCTTTTGAACATGCAAGTATGGTAGGCCTTCATATACCAAAGATGGTAAAACTTGGCAGATTGGCTTGCGACACTTGAAGCAGTGGTAGGGACAAGAAATAGACACTCTTGTAATCATGCCAATGGTGGTGACAAGGGCGTCTATGGCAGCGCACAGGTGGCACTAATGGGATGGGCTATAAGAAGTGTGATCCCTATGGTGGTTATAGTCGCGATAGCAGGGTGCTGCAACTACAGTTGTTGCATATATAATAGATGTTAACAAGCAAGTCTCCAATTTAATAAAATAATATGTTCTTGCCAAAAGAGATAAAATAAGCCCTTAATTTCGTGGTGTTGTCAGTGGACAGTGGTTTCTCTTGTGCGGTTGATGTTTTATGAAGTTGAGAAATGTGATACTTTGTTTGGCATATACATACAAAGTTATACGTTGATGTGCACTACACATATGTATATGGTCATATGTGTGTCTGAAATATTAAAATGAATCGAGAAGAGAGTGGGTTGCTATGATTATGAAATAATTCTATGTTGTGAATGTTTTTGTCATCTAACATCTAATGATGAATACATTAACTACCATAGAATATGAGCTCCCACCAGATAATATTTTCTTGTCAATTAGCTTGAAACTTAATATGTTCTGGAATGAATTGTTAGTAGGTATAAAATTCAAAAAGAACATTAGTTTTGTGTCAGAAATATGTAATAGTTAATTGAATAGTTTTTTTTCTAAATGCCTCGTATAAATGGCCTTTTAGTGACCTCATTAGTAGGATGGGATGGGTTGGTTCATATTTTCTTGTTTCTATCTTCTTTGGGCGAGGGTTCTTGAGAACTTTTATTTCAATATGTAACATGACTATCTGGAGAAAAAAATTGGAGAGCTATAAACTTTTATTTCAATATGTAACATGACTATCTGGAGAAAAAATTGGAGAGCCTTATAGCTCTGCTTAAGGGGTTGATGGCAAATTTAATTGAATTTTGATCTTATTAACACAACCATTTTAACGATCTGTGTGATAAGAATTCATATTTTGTAATGGTTATGATTTTGAAGGTTTAGCAATGTAAGTATCATATTAGGTTGGGGATGGAGGGTGTGTTTTTGTGTGCATAACTATGGCTCCATGGGAATGAAAGGTGTTGGGTGTAAGTAATATTGATTAAATGAAAAGTGTAAGCATTGAAATTATAATTGTAAATAGTTAACGTATAACGTACGTATGCAATAAAAGTTTATATGAAAACATGTAGAGTTATTGATTGGAAAGTGGGCCTTGCTTAGCCTATTGTATTGCCTTAATAATCCCATAAGGTTTTATTGAAACATAGACAGCGTAGAGTGTGGTCGGACTTTATTGGAAGAGGATGCTTCAGATCCACAAAGAATAAACTTTGGGTTGAACCAAAAACAGAAAAATAAATAGCATGTACATAACCGCAGACGGGAACAGAGCAAAAAGAAATAAAAAAAAGTGAAGGGGGGAGAGTGGGGGAGACTGCGAGTGCAAGGCCACACACAATATGAGATCATACAAAAGCTTGAAAGTCTCATATTGATTCATGGTTGGAAGACTCAGAAGAATGTATGGAGCACGGCAACATGTAAGCATTTGAAAACCAGGGCCGAATCCCAAACATAAGATAACTGATGGACACTCAAATTCTTTATATTACAAGAAATCTAATCAAAATATTGAAGTTGTTTGACATTGAAATCTACCTACCGTTTCTGCATGGTCAGTTTCAGCTAATGTCATCTGGGTCCTCAAAAATTCTCTACATGATGTAATTAGATTATGCAACATTAGGTTCGACGCATCAATGGTGGTAATGAGGACGCTAACCTCGTGTACCAAGCTGACAAGAGTCTCCCTCTGAAAACGATGAGGGTCTNGTGGTAATGAGGACGCTAACCTCGTGTACCAAGCTGACAAGAGTCTCCCTCTGAAAACGATGAGGGTCTTCCATGAAGAAATTTAACCATGACTTCAAGGAAAATACATGTGACGGATGAGCATTTAAACAGGAGATAGCAGCAACATAGTCAGTTTGTTCCAATTTCTTGAAAAACATTTCTTTAAGAAGAAGAGGAGGTGGTACGCGATCTGCCTCAACCAAGTGCTTCCAAGTTGTTTCCAACAGCTCCCCCTGAGAAGGATGCATGCAACACATTACTGCCAACTTTTTGTTCAGAGTTCACTTAAAATCACTGGAATAAATAAAAATGAAGCGAATATGTCGAAACCACTTTTGTCAACCCATAAGCATAAAACTAGGGCTCATTAAGGATAAATCAAGTTAAGTTATAAAAATAATATTATTACGTCTTGCAAAGGACTATAAGTAGCTGAACAATCGCATGCAATGTAACACATTTTTCAATTTGGAGGCAAAGCTGAAAGTTGGACCCGAGCTTGTTCCCCATCAGGATTGGTTATAAAACTTGTAAATATGAGAAGTCCCCCAATTTTTAAATCTATGACACATGGAAACTTCAATATTTTTTACATACATCCACTTCGGACCCCCCAAAATAAGCACACACATGGAGTGCGTATCAAACACATTTAGGTCGGACACCACCCAAACATCATTGAAGGAATCGAGGAAAGCAAAACCAGTTCAATGGAAAGTCCCTTCAGATGTTTTCATTTTATTGCATGGAAGACTAAAGATGAGTTGACGTACTATCCTTGAGAAGTCAAGTTGGCAATAAAGAACTTAGTTCACCGCTAATAGGTGATGAAGACAAATCGTCCACAGACATAACTAGATTGAGTACACTGTCCTAAATCATAGGGATCAGATAAAACTCTAAAACCTAAGACTGAAACCTGAGGAGTATTGCATACCTATATTTAACTATAATATTACCAAGATCCAGGCACTTGTCCAACCGAACCTACTTTAACAATGACATCTATCAAAATCACTAACAGTATTGCTTATATATTTTCTTTTCTTTTTTTTCGAGAGGCCCATGCGAGCAAGTTCTGCAAAGTAAGCAGTGTCAATGCTCAACTCTCACTCTAAATTACCAACAGTATTGCGTATATAATATGGCAAAGCTAGTGGCGAATTGTTATCCATTATGCAAAGGAAATATTATTAAATGACAGAAAAAATAGGCCCCTCCCTCTTGCAAGTACAAACTAACAGGGTCAGCAACCCAACTAACCTTCACTATTAAATACCGTTCCTCCAGCGGTATAGGCAGATCTAATTGCAAGAATATTACTGGATAATTCAGGTGTAGAGCAAAAGAATTATGAACTATTCCTCAACCCAAAAATAAAGAAAAAGACCGAACAAGAAAAATATAAAGCATTACCAGTGCCAAAAGTTACAATACTCATACAGGCCTGTATTCAACATCTGACCAAAAACTATAAAGAAATCATATTCGCCTTTTCTTATCCCCTTGACAATCAAAAACAGTAAACTTGCATATGGCATGTCTATATGAAGACAACTCTTTCATCACCGCAACGTTGGCATTCTTTCAAGCCTTGATCAACATACGAGCAGGTTAGCTTGACCATGTACTCAAACATGACTAGAAGTAGCATGTTTTACATTCACAATGGCCATTAAGGGGAACTAAATCCCGATATATCTATATCAGACATATCAAAGCAACAAGAATTGAGTTCCTTTCTACTAATTTGATCAGTGTGCGAATTATCTATTTAATAAAATCATTTATGTGGCTCCCCTGGAAACATGCCCCTTGACATAAGGCTGGAATTGCACCGAATTGTTGTTGTTAATAAATAAAGGGGCCAAGTAAAACCATATGGATCCACATCTTTTACCGTACAGATGATAGGACCACAAGTCCGCAAATTGATTAAACGTTTTAAGAGAATTGTGACTTGATCAAAGTTGAAAGCCAAAATTTAAAAGTTCCATTCACCCTAACCAAAGTCCGTTTCAAAATTAAAATTTCCTCTACATCAGATGCTTTAGAGACAAAACCATGCCACTGTGTTCGAAGCAAATCCACTATGATGGACAACAAAGAAGGGGGGGAAATTAGTTGAATTTTTCTCTCTGCATTTCAAAAACCAAGGGTACTATGTTAGAGGTAGACAATCGTTTATAGGAATTTAATTGCTCCAATTTTTTGGATTCAGTATTGAAGATGCTCCATCTGCAGAAGCGCATCCATTGTAAGGAACGTTCAGTGTGTTCTAGCATCATGACAAAAACAGAAAGAAGAGCACGCATTCTCCCCAAGCATGCAAACATTGCACTAGTGGGATGAAGGAAATAAAGAATACCTTTCCAGCTCTGCAGGCATCCAATATCATCTGAAGATGACGTTTCACGTTGAAGTGATACCCATGTTGCAGCATCTTTCTGTAGACAAACTCAAGATCATCCCACCTCAGCTCCACGACACAGGCATCTAACATCAAGTTAAAGGTGTAGATATCTGGAATAACTTTGTCCTTATGATCCAATTTATTGGAAATAGGGCTACCATTTTCCAATAAGTCCATGAACAATTCTTTTGCCTCTTCAAACATTCCATGATCAAGGTAACCTTTCAGCAGTATATTACAAGTCACCAAATTTGGGGAGCAAAACTTGTTCATATAACTGAAGATATATGCCCCATTATGAATGTTTCCAGAATCCAAACAGGCTTGAATTAGACCAGTATAAGTCACCACTAAAGGTTTATTTGCAACCTTACAAATCTTGTCAAGCTGTGAATAGGAAACTGTCAGCCCGCAACAGAATATTTCAGATAAGGTAAAGAAAAAATAATAAGAGAACACTGCAGCTCAGCCATGATTGACTTCATCCATCTATAACTGCTGTTCTAGACCACTTAGAAAACTTACATGGATGAGCCAGAGGTATAATATGTATGAGAATGTGGTAGCCCCATCCAGGTCAAAAAAAGAAAAAGAAAATAGCCCCATATAGAATCTGATTACCACAAGTATCAGTGAATCCCTTAACATTTAGCCAAATAATGCAAAATCCAATTTTAGAGCATACTGCTATGATATTCAGAATTGGTTAAGGAATAGCATTTTAATTTATATTTTATTTTCTGCAGTATAGCTTTTTTAATGTTAGTCTTATGTATAGAATTTATGTTTCTAGTCTTTTTAAAGTAGTGATGAAGGACTCCATTAGTTTCAAATGCTATTCCTTTACCAATTTCAATGCATTATAACATTATAGTACATTGAAAGCCGAGCCAAAGAACATAGATTACTGATAATTCATGTATGCTTGAGATTACTGATATTTCATGTATGCTTGAGCCCCTATCTTGAGATTCACTCTTCTCGCCTCTGTTGCCTTTTTCGCTCCTATATTTTTTACCTTTACATTGTATATATACCATTTTTTCTATAACATTAAACATTGCATACTTGCATATATTTATTACAAAAGGCTTGGGCACGGTGGCAATAACTAGAACTGTCGCCTTCTGAAGTGATAATGCAAGCCAGAACTTCACTAATTAACTACTGCATGTTGTAATTCCGCGTCAGGGAAGCCTCCCAGTAAAACTGTAATACTACAAGAATCAAGAAACGTTGATGTATCATTTAAGGATAATGAGACCTACTTGCATTAGTGCTTCTTCACATCTTCCAGCACTACAGAGACAACGAGCAAGGTCATAATAGAGACCAGCAGTTCCAACTATTCCTCGTCTTTCCATGTCTTGGACGGCCAATATAGCCTCATCTGTTCTACCTTCCCTCCAAAAAGTATTCACTATAACTATATAAAGCAAACAAAGGAAGTCAATGATATGATGAAAACCTTGGCAATGTAAAAGGTAAACTGACATAACTTACCTTTGTATGTTAAAGCATTTGGAATAGATGACATAAGCACTTTCTTGAAAAAATCATGAACCAAGTTGTACTTGCCACATTCAAACATTACCTGCTCCATTACAGAGTACTTCAGTGAAAGTTCACTATGTATGAAGCAACTATTCACGTATCAAAGTCATATTCACTTTCAACTGACTCTGGGAGTCCATTGATATGTAAGATGAAAAATAAGTACATGACTGGAAAATAACAATTCTTTCTTCTTCCCACTTTGAAAGAGAAAAACAAACTATATCTTATTTTGTGAAAATGTCGTGCATGTTCAAGGTGCTCAAGATATCAGTATTGGAAAACATATAACACCAACACAGGCACACAACTGCCCTTGAGTGAAGTCATGCTCCTTTAAATTTATTTCTATTTTTGATAAATAAATAGGATTTGTAAAGCTGTTGACTCAAGTTTCTAGAAGCACTTCCATGTATACAATAGAGTGCAAGATTGAAAGAAGATATGAAACTTTGCAAAGTAAAAACCCCTACGCAGAACATGCTTTGTGACCCTATTCTTCCATGTAGCCTAAACAGACAAAGACATCACCCAAGCTTTACCAAATCCTCCAGAAAATAGAGAATATATTAGATAAGAAAAAGCAAATTAAAAGTAGATAAGAAAAATGCTATAAAAAAGACAACAAAATGAATAGTCATACACAGTGTGCGGGGTCTGGAAGCGGTAAGTTGTAGGCAACCTATCCCCCATATTGGAGAGGCTAATTCTCAAACCCAAAACCTACATCGTATCCAAATTAATACTTACAGAAGCCTCCCAAAAGTATCCCATCCATAAATCAACCAAAATATCTATAACCCTAGATACGCATTCAACCAAGAGAAAGAAGATAGAACATATAAAGATATGAGGTTATCCGTAAGCAACTCAACCCACTTAAAAGACCTCATATTCCCCTTCTCCAAGTAAACAAAAGGGCAAAAATAAAGGAGACCATTCACTTCATAGCCTAGGGTTCATCTTTCTTTTTTGGCTCACATAAGAAATTCATCTTGCCAAGACTATTCCCAATATTGTTATCTTATTCTTTATTTTAGTTTAGGAGTGTCGATGTAGTTTGCATAAATACTTGCTCTTATATACAGTCTTGGATGTAGTATGAGCAAAGACACATTACCCTTCAAATAATACTCTCTTCTTTGCTTTTTATTCCAGTTATCACTTTCCTCCAAAACCCTAGAATCTTACATTCTAACTTCATATCAAAGAACAAACCACTGATCACAAATCTATGCCTTAAAAACTAGTTGAAAGTAATTGGAAAAAGTCTGCAATGTGCTGATGTCAGCATCCGACCTGCAAATGAAAGCACTGACCTTGTCAGATCTGGTTGGAAGAGGAATGGTTTGAATCGCATCATTATCCATGAGTTAAGATTAACTTCTTTTTTTGAAACCATTTGATTGTATTTTTCTCTTTTTACGATTATATTTCTCTCGATTTTGTATCTGTATTTTTTGGGCTGTTTGGTTGGTTTTTCTGGTTCTATTCTCTTCCATAAGTTGTAATAAGGCTTCTAAGCATTACCATGAACTTTGGTTGAGATCAGGGGTTTTTACATGGTTTTTGGATGATCTGAGGTTTGGCAATCTTCGTTTGGCCGTTTCGGTTACTGTTTGTTGTTGACTTTTGTTGGTCTACTGGTCGAATTAACTCATGGCAGATTCTGATTCTTGTTGCTCACTGAGACACTTTTTGTACTACCCCTATTATGTGGACATGTCTGACGATAGTGTGACTTCTACTAACACTGGAGCACGAGATCCCTCCTTCCTTCCTACTGATCGACTCTAACTCGAGGCTCTGCTCACATCTTCTGAGACGTTCCTCTGAATGTACAAATTACATTAGCTTTCGAGTTAAATGTAGATTTATAATTTAAGGATGCTCTTACTTTAAAAGCACTTAAGAGCTAGAATCACATCTAACATAAACTTCTTTGATTTGTAGCCTGTGTTTTGTCATTACTGCAACAAAACCCTCATCTCTGACATTTGAAGTAATATTGTAAGAGGCTACAGAAAGGTTGCTTCAGCAGCCTCTAACCCCTGAACTATCCTCTACCACTCCTCTTCATCTCTAACCAAGCTGTTTTACAGTGTAAATGAGTTTTAATAATAAACACCCTTGTCAAAATGAGTACTCGTTCTGTGCAACAAAAAAAAAAGAAGTGGTAAGCATAGAAGTAAACTTTGCTATTTTTACCTCAGCTTATCACATAAATTGGGGAGAGGGTTGCAATTCCCAAACATGCAATGTCTCTGTTCATTGTGGCTTTTCCTGGCTAGTACATGCAATCTTTGAGGAGTATCACGTGAGAGATTATGTGAAGTTCTCATATGGAACAGAGAGCTGGTACCAAAAGCATGAGCATATGCACATGAAGCTTTCACATACAATGTATGTGAATCAGCTTCCAACAGAGCTCTATGTTTGAGAGATTACTTAAGTGAGATAAAATCTAGGAATTTTTTCATGACTGGGCTGAGAAACCACTTCTGCAGAATTTCAAGATCATGGAATATTTAAACTGATTGTAATTAGTGAATTCTGTGAAGTCACTGTGTATTTTTGTATCTCAACTAAATTCATAGTCAAGAGATTAATGAAGATTAAATACCGGAGCAAGATATGGTGAAAAAGCTCAAACAACAAAGCAATATGAAGAAGACTTCTTGGATCCTATCGAACTTAGGTGAGGTAAGATTTAGGTACCTTTGATTTAACTTAGATTGATTAATTGAATTTAGAGTGTGTGTGTGTGTGTGTTTAATCTATAACACTCTCGGGATTTTTGTGTTAAAATATTTTTGAAACTTCAAATGTTTAGTTTTTGAAAACGTGTTTTTAAATAAGTCATGAAATGGAGCTTTTTAGGTGTCACTCCTTGGCACTTAGGAAGTTGAAAAAAGCTTTGGTTTTTGAGAAAAACTAGCGCTCTCAGGATGTTAGAAAATGGATTGAGCTAACAAAGACAATTCTAGAGTGCAGTGCTCGCTGGAGCGCTCGAGCAGTCCACGTAGAAGGGTTGCAGAATTGCTTTCCAGTAGCTGGCGCTATCCACAACGCCCAAGCAGTGCGTCACAATCAGGATTTCTTACACGCCAATTAAGCTCGATTTTTCCAATCCTATAATAGGGGTCGACTTTTCTGACTTAATAGACGTCTAAGGAGACATAAGAGGAGCTCTAGGATTTAAGAGAGGCTACCAAGTCAAGACAGAACTTACTCTAGATCAAATTAAATCCCAATCCCTACATGACATCTAGTTCGTATGAGAATTTAAGCAAGGATTGTTGAAGATCTTGTAGACCACCAAACCCCGCTACAATCCAAGGAGGCACCCAAGGATCAAAGGAAGATTCCACAAGGAGACGAAGGACGATTTCAAGAATTGATTATGGAACTCAATTCGTTACCTAGTGAAGCTACTTGTCAAGACGCTTGTGATGGATTTTTGGAGTGAAAATTCAAGGGAGAAAACTTCTAACCATGGAATTGGTTAAAGGGCCTTCAAACTTGTAATCGCAACTTTGAAACTAGTGAATTAGGTTAGGTGGACTACGGTCTCATAGTTTTTCTCGAGAAGGTTTCTAGGTTGAAATTAATTGTGTTGTGCATCGTAATTGCCTTTTACATACTTGTAATTTTATATCCTTATAAGTGTTTGATTGAATGCCTGAGAGAATCCGCTTTGTGTTGTTGGTCATTTTATTGTTGAAATCAATTGATGGTTGGTGGAAGGGATTTGGAGTGATAAGGTTGGTAGATTGTGTTTGTGCTATATCGATTAATATGGGTAATTGCATATATTCAATAATTGGCCATTGGGTCTTGGATATTTAGGGGTTAATTGAACAAATTGATTAATCAATTTATAATTGACTAGGCTAGGTTTTAATTGGGCATAAATTCTGCATTTGAGTGCATAAGACCTATTCAACCTCCCAGCCCCCCCCCCCCCCCC